TGGATTCCTTCCAGACTAATGTGGTTTGAGCAAGCCAGACCCCCTGAAACAGCGTTCCTGGTGATTCAACATTCAAAACAGCTTGAACAAGGCAGCCTTGCAGACTTATGCCAGATTTCTGCGTCTTCTTAGGATCCCCATGACAGCGCCCCCTATCAGCAGGAAGTAGTTTGGAAAGAACGACGCCCAAATTCCCAAATATTGTTTATAAATGTTTGTTTTCATTTAAATGGACTTGGTTACAAATGGTTAATGATCACAACCAATAATCTTTTTAAAGGTAAAAAGGGGACTATGGTATAGATATGAATACTTTATTTTGGAATGGATTTTCATTTATTGATACAATTTAAGGTCAATAAGGTGATATGTATATTTCTCCTCTTGTTTAAGTATTGTGTTTATGTAGCTCATTTAAAAATGTAATGTATAATTTAGTACAGATTTTAGATAGTTACCTATAATAGTCAAAACTTATAGCTAGGTGAGTTAGGTTTTCTAGATATGCAGAGATGTATTTGAGATAGATACGCATTCTTCAAACCTTTCAAAGACCTACAGAATATGGCATTTAAAATGGTTTAGGGTTTTTCTTGAAAATAAGACATAATTATTCCTGGCAACACCACCTGCGTCAGAAAGGAAGATGGACATTGAAGAAACTCGTTATAGAGTTTGCTTCCAATATGGCAAGACTAGCCATTTGGACAAGATACTGCTCTTGTCTGGACTGTTTGACTTTATGCTGTATAAACTGGACATGCAGGACCCACAGAAAAGTGACTGCTGCTTCAAGATAGACAGAGTTCCTGCTTCATGGAAGAGTCTGCCAGACTGTCTGCAGGACACAGAGAAAAACGACTGACAAGCTGCCAATAAAAGAAGACAGTTTAAAGTTTCCTGCTTTGCTGAAGAGTCTGCCAGACACACTATGGCCTATGGGCTGAAGATGGAAGATTACAGAAGAACTTCAGGTGACTGAAAAGGCAAGATGTCTCTGTCATTTCTAGAGTTTATATACTATCCTTCTGTGGTCTTTGAAGGAGTTGAAGACAGATAGTTATGGTTATAGTTTTCCTTAGTTAGGATTCAATGATAAGGTACATATAGGACTTTAGACTCACAAGATAAAATAGATGATGGAATATTTTCTTCAAATCTTACTAAATGTCAATGGACTGTGATTCTTACTTGATAACTGTTGTGTTATATATTTTGCTATGTTAAGCTTAAAACCCTTCTTTTTATTTAGACAGAAAAGAGGAGATGATGGGAGATGTCATTCTGTATATGTTTCTCATACTGGTTAATGAATAAAGCACTGTTGGCCAATAGGAAAGGAAGATAGGAGGGACTAGGAGATGAGGAGGAAATAGAAAGGAGGAAGGAGAAGCCAGGATAGAGTCTGGAGAGACTAGGACCACCAGCCACCTCTCGCTGGTAAGACCATGTGGAAATACATAGAAATGGGTTAATAATTAACACAGAGCTAGCCGATAAGAAACTAGTAACTGGCCAACATAATTATAGCATATACAGAGTCTCAGTGTGTTATTTCGGGCTGGCGCGGCGGTAGGACAAGACTGGCAGCGGGCGGAAAAACCATACTCGTTACTCAGGTGCTGACTGCCTGGTCCTCCAGGGTACAGGGTAGGGCATGTGTGACTCTGGTGCTCAGACATTTAGCTTCTGCCCCCATGGTCTTCAGCAGGCTGTCCCAGGGTGTGATGGACATTACCTTGGAAAATTGTCATACACTGTTTGAGCTCATGAGAAGCTGACTCTGGGAGTGGTCAGTGACTCTACTCACTTCAGACGCAAGCATGTTTGTCTCAGTTTCCCCAAGGTCTCTTTTCTATGGATGGCATCCCCAGTGCTGGATAGGAGGGAGGAAAACAGCAAACAGCCCAAGAGAATGGTGGGTTCTCACCGACAGTCCCTTACAAGGAGACCCGTGCACAGCAGAGGTACCATGGTTTATCCCATGCCGTGAAAGCACTTATGGTGGGAAAGAGAAGACAGGAGTGCAGCATGGCAAGATCATCCAAGGAGAGAAAGCTCAATCCAGAGCTTCAGCTGGCTGCCTCAACTTCCCCAGTCAGTTTCTGCTTGATGCTGTGATCACCTGATTTTAGGGTGTCATCTCTATTTGCTGCTATTTGTTCTTTCACTTGGAAGCTGCAAGAACACTCTGCCCTACCCAGGACTGTCTCTCTTGGGAACTTCCCCTGGCTCCCTGGGTTGGTTTGTGCAGGGTGTTTTGAGAACATCTGATGATGCTCTGTCTGTCATCCAGCTATCTCCTGATACTTATTATTTTACTTTTTCTTGCTATACACTTAACTCCTTCAAAACCAAAGGCATTGTTATCTAAAGTCATTCCCTGAAACATACAGAATATAATTGACTTACTTGGGTGGGGGATGGGATGGGGGGGACTCTAGGGGACATGGGAGGATGGGCAGGAGAGGGAACTGGGACAGATATGTAAAATAAGATTGTTTCCAATTTAAATAAATTTTATTAATTAAAATATATTCTGAAATATCAAAAGCAATCCAATAATAACACATGAAGAAATTACAGGCTGAATTTAACGTTCATTATGTTGATAAACTTTGACATGTTTGAGCTCACTGAGCAGCTGTAACCAGATGAGGGCTGTCCACTGCCCCCTACACCCATGTCAAACCCCAGCATGTTTGTCTGGAGATGGGATGACACTCACCTCAACTCTGTGGAAGGAAAGACAACACCAAAACCCTCTGAGGGTTAAAGTCGTCAGCCTTGAGAACATTAAAAAGAGAGCTATTTCCAATGGATGCTAGCGTGGACAAACCCATGTTACAAACGTGCTACAGTGAGAAAGAGAAGCCAGAAGTGCATTGCTGGAATCTCAGGCAGGGAGCGAAAGCTCAGTCCAGTCCTGCTGCCTCTTCCCAGTTAGTTTCCACTGAATACACTGAGCATCTGATAAACGATGGTTTGTGTCTGATACTCTCTCTTCCTCTCTCTCTCCCTCTCTCTCTCTCTCTCTCCTTGTCCCTCTCTCTCTCTCTCTCTCTCTCTCTCTCTCTCTCTCTCTCTCTCTCTTACTTTGCCTTGCTACATACAAAAGAAAATTCCCTCATTCAAAACATGATATATGGCTTTATATGTCGTTCTCTGGGGGATACAGCACTCTGGACCAAGCGGCTAGACCCAACCCCACACTGCAATCCCTCCAGAGCTGCAGGGTAGGTCCCTGAAGGACTTGCTGAGCTTTCTAAGCACTGCAGCCACTTCCTACACCAGGACCCGGCCTGGGGAAGGCCAAAGGTGACTGCACAAGTGCCTGGTGATTTTCATGGGGACAAGCCAGCTATGACAGAGGTAACCATGGCAGCAGTTCCTTGCAAGTGTTCACACAGTCTTTCAAATCTCCTGAGCTCCTCATGAACTCCTCCTGGATGAAATGTACAAGCAGACACACTATTTTCTCCTTTGAGACCACAGCACGTTGAGAGATTTATAAGGACAAAGGGAACTAGCTTACTTTCTTTCCTGCACACCTCTAACTTACTCCTTGACGATCAGACATGGTCAGATTTTGCTGTGTGTAATGGTGAGGGCTCTCAAGAGACAGAATCAACAGCATATACACTCTATCCAGAGAGACAAACTACTTGGGGGTTATGTGGGTATTCATGTGCCATTTGTCATGGGAAGAGGTTTCTGTCATTTGTCACTCCCTAACCAGCCCATTGCAAAAGGGAATTCCAGAAAGTCCCTGATGTATGCAGTTCAGATCTGATTGCACAGGAGGACCTGGGAAAGTCCCAGATCGTGACAAAGCAAACGGAAAGCAGATGAGCAGGCCAGGAGATGGTGGGCATCTGGATGTGACATAAAGAATACACTCATTGTCTGATTTAATTTTTATTTTATTTTGTGTGTATGGGTTTTTACATTTTTAGATTTATATTATGAGTATGGTCATTTTGCCTGCATGAATGTCTATGCACCACATGCATGCATGCAGTATACACAGAGGCCAGAGGAGGGTGGCAGATGCCCAGGCATGGGACACAGAACATGGTTCACTACCATGTGAGTTCTGGGAGCCAAACTCAGATCCTCTGGAAGGGGAACCAGAGCTCTGAACCTGTGCAGGCCCCAAACTAGAGTTTGATTAAAGCAGACTTATTCTAACCAGTTATCCATGGACTGAATGGATCATACAATATTACACAGCTTCGCTAGCAGGGAGATTCATTGACATTAGAGGAGGCATACGTAATAATTAACTAGGAGTTATGGTGTATTCAATCAATTCAGTTTCCCTAGATAGAAAAGGATTAACAAAGAATAAATGTCCCCGTGGTGGTAGAACTTCAAGCCAGCTTCAAGAGGACATCAGAAAACCAGTAAAGACCATGCAGTAGACACCTAATACTAACACAGCCATGGCATGTGTGACATGGAGAGAACATCCTGGGTCCCTGCTGGGCAGGCCCACAGGCTCATCATCACTCACTTACACCCACAGCTGTATTCACAGTTCAAAGTTCCTGTGTGCTACGGTGAAGGCAGCTCTAGGCAAACGTGCTTTATCTTCTAGAGCAGTGGTTCTCAACCTTCCTAATACTGCAGCCCCTTAATACAGTTCCTTATGTTGTGCCCCCAACCATAAAAGTATTTCCTTGTTACTTCATAAAGTAATTTGTCTACTGTTATTAATCATAATGTAAATATCAGATATGTAGACTATCTGATATGTAACCCTTGTGACAGGGTTGTTCAACGTCCCCAAAGAAGACACAACCCAGAGGTTGAGAACAAGTACTCTAAAGAGCTTTGTCCCTGCCTTGAGGGTCTCAGATTAGAAGCAAGATATTTCAAATTTCTTCTGGTTTCATGAGACTCTTCAGAGGCAGGCACTACCAGCTCAGAGCTCAGACTCTTGGAAGCAGCTGTGACCCTTGGCGAGTAAAAAAGAAAAAGACAGAGCACAGAGCAAGTGTGTTTCAGGCTTTATTGGAGATGAGGCAGGCCCGGGGCAGCCCCTCCACTGAGAATGGGTTGGAACTGGAGACAGTATTGTCCTTTAGGGTAATTCTAGGGAGTGGAATCCAGGGAGACATCAAATCATAGAGGACTGTGCTTGGGTCAGGGCACAGATGAAGGAGGGATCTTGGTGAAAGGATGGGGGAGATGAAGACTACATGGGCTTGACAAGGGCAGGCCTGACTAGGAAGCAGGGGGCTGGCAAAGGCTTGTGGAGAAGGGGTGGGAAGGAGAAAGATTGAGAACCGTGAGGCAGCCGTGCAGAAGGCCAGCTGTCCCCAGGGCCAGGAGCATCCCGTGTGCACAGGGCCTCCTTAGGACAGCCAGGGTAGCAGGCCTACTTGTTACACCAGTGCGCCATCTTTGAAAATATAGGTTTCGGGAGGAAGCGGCTGGTCTTCATGTAGGCAGAGATCTTCTTCAGGCCCTGCCAAATGGGAAGGACACAGCAGGTGCTCAGGTCTGCAGCCTGCACAGATGAGGGGGTGGGGTGGGGTGGCGTGGGGGGCATGCCAGGAGGGGCCTTTGTCCTGGGCTCAGGCTGGAGCACAGTGCAGCCTGCTTAGCTGCCAGTCCAGGCAACAGAACTCTTTCACAGCCTCTATTAAAGGGGGGCTGGATCTCTTATGACCACTAAAAATTACAATATAGGTCAGAATATGGCCCATCAGTCCTGCAAGATCAGTTATCAGGGATTCCTGAGGCCCAGAGAGGTTGACCAACTTCCTCTGGCTCACACAGCTAGTGAGACAGCTACTCTAGAACAGCTGTCTATGCATGCACACTCTCTCCTGTGTACTTGTGTTCTCTCTCTCTCCCTCCCTCCTTCCCTCCACCCTTCTTCTCTCCCCCTCTCCCTACTCTCCTTCACTCCCTCCAGCCATCTGCTCTCCCCCCCCCCATCTCTCCCTCCCTCCTTCTCCCCTCTCTACTCTTCCCAAGGAGGCCCTGTCCCTATTTATCTGCATGAACATGCTCCTGGGGGAGGGAGGTGGAGGAGTGGCCCTTTCTAGCCTGTGTTTACACAGGAGAGAGGCTTAACAAACACAAAAGGAGCTGAAAAACGTGACTGTGTGTGTGTGTTTAGGAGAACAGCCAAATGTCCACAGACTCAGCAAATCATGCAAGAAAGGGAACATTAAGATGACAGCCCACAGGATTCTAATCAGTTTCCCTAGAGCAGAGTTAACAGTTCTCTATCCAGTACTCAGAACCATCTCACTACTCCCTGGCAGTGTGTGTGTGTGTGTGTGTGTGTGTGTGTGTGTGTGTGTGTGTGCACGCGTGTGTGTTTTTTTTCTTTTGACACAAAGCAGGAGCAGTCACCAAATGGTGACCCAGAGACAGATATGGAGTCCAGTTAGCTGCCACTCATGCTGAGACCATGAACAAGTGAGTTCCCTCAGATTCCTTATCTGTCCAATGGGACTCGGAAGTCAATCAACTTTTGGGGATTTAGAGATTTTGAAGTGATAAATATTGCCCATACAGATGTTTACAGAAAGCTCAAAACATTCTGGTTGCTTTCCTTTAGTCTCAGGTTAGAAAAGCATTGTAGAAGAGGATAAAAACGCCACCCATAGGAAACAGTATCAGGACATCACCTCAAAGCGGGCCAAGAAGTCCTTCAGGTTTGGAAAGGGATCCAGGCATTTGGGCTCCAACGTTCGATACTGGTCAAGAATATCATAAGAAAGGAAATCCGCATAGGTGACCTGCAGGAAGTGAGGGTCAGTGCACTGGAATTTGACACCTTGAAAGAACATCAACTCCTCCCCACCTCCCTCTCTTTACCTTGTCCCCTGCAAACCATGGCCGCTTGCCCAGGAACTCAGAGTACATCTTCATCTTCTCAGGGATGGTCTTCAAGAACTCTGGCTTCTGTTTCTCCTGAGGCAGAAAACAGCTGTCACCACCCTTAGGCTCAGGCTCCCCAGTGGAGAGATTGGCCTCCCAGTTCTGCACAAGGGAACAACCACCTTCCCAGCAAAAGGCCAGGTCTATGTCTAAGCTTCAGGTCACACATAATTTATTGGTGGTAGAATTCATGTCAGACAGGAATTTCACACTGTCTCTGGAATCTGCCATTGCTAAAGTCCAAACCAGGAGCTTTGAGTGACACCCAGCACCTCCTGAGTATCCTGCATGTTCTGGCCTCAGAGATCCAGTAGAGACACAGATACAAAGGACATAAAGACCCCAGGAGTAGACAGTTATACTGGGTTTGGGGAGCATGAGAACAGATCACATATGTGAAGAGTAAACATCAGTTTTGAGCAGGTCTTCTTGCTGATCCTGAGTGACCTATTAAGAAGATGTCCTGATTTCTGTTGATACCTAAGACAGAATTATGGGGAATGCACAGGATAGATGTGTGAGACCAGTGTGCATATATGACCTATGACCTATTTCCATCAAATGGGAATAACAATGCTGCCTGTTGGTAGAAGGGAGTCGAATGTTGATGTCAAGTGTCTTTCTTAATCTCTCTCTCTCTTTGTTTTTTTTTTTTTTTTTTTTTTTTTTCCTTTTTAAAAACAGGGTCGTGCATTTTACCCAGAGTTCACAAACAGGCTGGACTCTTTGGTCATTAAGCCCCCAGAAATCCTCCTGTCCGCCCCCCCACAGAGCACTATGACTATGATCTTATTATGATTATGTCTTTTATGTCGTGCAAAGGATCTACACTAAAGCCACCAACAGGCCATGCCTGCATCCACTACTTTCATCCTGGATCTTTTGGTGTGAACACTAGGTTAGGTGACACATGGAAGCTTACAGGGGACAGATACAGCAGAGATTACAACTATGCTAAAGCACTTAGATGGACTGTGCACCAGCAGAACCTCAACCACATCTTGCATCACGACTCTAGTCAAAATATTTTCATAGTGTTGATGTGCTAGCTCACTGTGGTTTTGAGGGTCATTCTGCTGGTAAGATAGGAGAGCACAGAGACTCAGTAACACAGTTCATTCACTGAAGGAGGATGCTGCAATCTGATGCAAGACTTTAAGTCCTGCTGCAAACCCTGTAGGATCCAACACTGGCAACTCACAAAGTCCGGGTTGTAACTCAGCATGATGAGCTGCATGCGGGTGTCCATAACCTGGTTCTCCACAATGTCCACTCGAATCCTCTCCTCCTCTGTCTCCCCACCTGCAGCACACACAGCAGAGACTCATCCTCAGCATCCCACCCCAGCCAAGACAAGGAGGATGCTCCCCATGCCCCTCCCTGCAGCCAGCCCCACTCACACAGGTTGTGCTTGCGGGCGATGTAGCGCAGGATGGCGTTGCTCTGGGTGATCTTGTGGGACCCATCAATTAAGTAGGGCAGCTGAAAACACAAGCAGGGATGATCAGATGAGAGATGGGGTACCAGCAGGGATGATCAGATGAGAGATGGGGTACCAGCAGGGATGATCAGATGAGAGACGGGGTCCCAGCATCCCTTCTCTGGGTGAGGGCAGATGTGGGGCCTGGCACTCAGTGTGCCTGGCATGGGAAACTCCCCATGAACACAATGCACACTGAATGGAAGAGCAGGGACAGGTGACATGAAGAGCTGGGACACAGCCCATCACAGGACACCGTGCAGCCACAAGGAGTGGGAGCAGGAGAGCTGAAGCTCTGATCCCAAACCCCCTCAGCCAGGCGAGGAGATGAGGTGAGGACGCCATGCCCTCCCCAGACCTCCCCTTCCCTGTGCCTACATTGGGGAAGTCCAGGCCCAGCTTGAACTTCTCATTCAGCCACTGGCTTCTGTCAAAGTCCGGAGCTGTTGTGGACAAGATGAAGTGAAAAGAAATCAGCCCAGTGTCCCACTCTACTCCTGGTATGGACCAGAAGCAAGAACCCCTGGGGTGTGTGTGTGTATGTGTGTGGAGGGGGTGTGTCTACAGCCTCTTACAGAGTCACTTTCCAAGATGGAGGAAAGAGAGAAACCACACCGGTAATAAGAGGAGCCTAGACCCAATAGGACCCCAATTGTGCATGCAGCCTAATTATAAATACAGATGGACCAGAAATTCTGTTCTCAGTGTTCTATACTGAAAAGCCAAACTGCACCCTCAAAGAGGTTTCTGGAAGCAGCAGGCTCTAGCTCCAACTGAAGGAGAACTGTGTGAGGCATAAGGGGCTAAGCATGGGTTGATGGGAATCACTTGGCAAATGGAGATAGCTGACTGATCAGGAAGGTGTCATTACCGTCACCCATGGTGTATCTCTTCTCCTCATAGCTTGTGTCTGTGTATTCCAGGAGCAGGCGGATGGGGTGTGTTAGCTGGAAGAAAAGAACAGAGACAGAGGTGTGGGAACTTTACTGTATGACTTCATCTTCTCCAAGAGAGACCCCACCCTGCACAAATATAGCCAGTGCATATCCACGCACACGTGCACTCGCCTCCCCCCCCCCAACACCCCATACCCCCAACCTCCAAGGTGTATAAGCTCCTGGGCACTGGGAACTATAGGCAGAAGATTCGAGGAGCGGGCCCGAGAGGTGCTAATGAGTATTCCTCAGCTAGAAAGGCCCTGCTGTTAAGAACTTCCTGCCTTGCACCCCAGTCCCATCTCTTACACCGCGGACGTTCCAGTATCCCAGTATCATAGGCATACTGCTGGTGCTGGTGCTGGAATTCCCAGACTTGATTCAGCAAGGTTGACCTGGGTCGCTGGACAAGCTGCAACTTTATACAGATTCCCGGAAAAATGTAGGAGGGACCCAGTGTCCCTCCCCACTCTGCACCAATCCCAGTTAGGCACTCCCTTTCCTCCCTTGTGTAACCAGAGATGCACATCCAGACCCAGAAGGCCACACCCTCTTCGAGAAAGGAGGAATTAAGTAAAATCTCCTGCAATTTCCGCCCCAAGATTCTTTTCCGTGCACCCTAAAGGCAAACTGGCTACTCCAAATGCTCTTTACTACTGCTGTCATCGACACCTGCTAGATGCTCCAGAAACAAGCACTCTTCCTAGAGACTGGCAAGGATGTTGTCCCTGCCTTTACTGAGCTCCGTTTTCAAATACAGACTGTGGGAATAGGTCACTCTGAGAGGCTCAACTCTCAGCTTAAGAACAAAACCTTAATCTAACCTGAAACCGTAATCTAGCACCTATCCTTAAAGAAAAAACTCTGCCAGTCTCTGAGCTACCAGACTATTGTGCACACCTACTCTGATTACAGGAACAGTGGGTGACTTGGAAACAACCTCAGCACAGTGAAAAACAGAAGAGGAAATGGTCTCTGTCTTTCGGAGGTTTGGGAAACCAGTCCTTCCAGTCCAATCATAAAAATAAATCCGTGAAAGTGTGCTGAATCTTGGTAAAAGGTGCTCAGACAGAGCATGGGAGAGTCAGCAGTGAGAAAGGTGGGGTGGGGGGAGGGGAAAGGCATATAGACAAACAGGAGAGCTGGGGTTCAAGAGGGGGCAGACCCTCTGCAAGGCGCTGAGTACACACTAGACATCAAAATACAGACATGGGCCCCACTCAGGGTCCTGCCAAGTCTGTCTGAACACTTGTCAGAAGGGAGCCTGAGGTCCAGAATGCTTATCAACTTCCTTCTTTTCACACAGCTAGTCAGTGGGTCAGAGCCCAGGTCACAGAGGCTCTGTGGGTACCACTCTGGGAGGACCCTGGCCCTGGCCTGCTGACCTCCTTCCTGCAGGGGACCCCGTCAATCTCTGTCTGTACGTGGAGACATGCTCCTGGTTCACAGCTAAGCTCCTGTTCACAGCTAAGCTCCTTCTCACCAGCTTTTGCACACAACACAAACTTCCCACAGGACAAAGGAATCCAACAGATGAGTGCAGGACAGAAGAGATCTCACCCTATGACTGAGCACAAACTGGATGAAAGGGACATTACCAGCAGAGCCAGAAGAAAAACATCAGGGATTCAATCAAGGCCCTGAGAACAGAAAGTCCCAGTTTCTCCACTTGGTGCCCAAGGTCTGCCTCGCTGTGCCAAAACTAACCCCATCCCCAGCAGACCAGTGAGAATAACAGCTATCTATATTCCAGGCCTTCTCTCGGGACAGTGAGTAGCAAACAGTTCCTAAAGGGTCCAAGGACAACCAGGACTTCCTGTACCAACAGCCAGCCTCAAGCACAGAACTCAGCCATCCTTCTCCCCTCACAGTCTCACACAGTAGTAACTAGCTGAGAAAGTAACTTGATGAGCATGAGGCAGAAAAACAGGCTCCAGGCTAAAATAACCATTTCCCTAATACTTCCAACTCCAAAACCTAAAGTAGGCTTCGTGGGTGTCAAAACAGATTCTTAGTGACCCATGGCTACCAGTGAGATGAGAGCTAAGCTGGGCACCCAGCACCCAGTAGATGCCACGTGACCATCAGAGTCTGGAATGTTGTTGTCTATGTGTCTCTCTGTGCCTTTATCTCTGCCCCGTCTCTCTCTGTGTCTCTTTGTCTCTGTCTCTGTCTGTCTCTCTCTCTCTCTCTCTGAAACCTTTAGTCCCAGGATGAAGACATCTTTACCTGTCCTACTTGCTTGCCTGACACCATGCTTCAAACAGAGGACAATACTTGAGAATATGTCCCATGTCACAGAGAATCACTGTTACACGGTGATGTCCATTTTAGTCAGGTTCTGGTACTGAGACAAAGTAACAGAGAAAATCAGCGTAAGTGAGGAAATACTTATTGTTCTGTGTCACCGCCTCAGAGGCTTCAGTCCATGATCTCTTGGCTTCACATTGGAGAACATTATGACAAAGAGTGGGTGCTGGGAAAAGCGGCTCACCACATGATGAGAGGACAGGAAAGGTTGTAATACACCCCTCAGGCTTACCCACATCCACTACCTACTCCCTCCTACGAGGGCCCTGCGTGGGTTTCCACCATCTCTCAGCTGCCTGCTTTTAATCCACAACTACACCTCTCCAAGGCCCACCTTTGAATATTATTACACTGAAGACAGTGCCTTCGTTCAATGATATTCAAGAGGGATGTTAGGGTTTCTATTGCTGTGATGAAACACCATGACCAAAAAAAGCACCTGTGATACCAGGTCCCAAGGATCTGACCATCTCTTCTTGCCTCTTAGGGTACCCATAAATATATGTGCACATGCACGCACACACCCCAAATGAAAAACATTCAGAAATAATATTTTAATCTGAAAAAGGAAAAACAACATAACAAAACTGACAAGAAGGCAAAAGCTTTGTCCCTCAATCTGTTGCCACTGATGCTAACTCTGTTCTGTAGGTTGAACTCACAAGGCTGTGAACACCTGACTGCATCCAGCCACAAACAGCCTGAGAAAACAAGGAACTGAAACTGATCCTCAAATGTTAAGAGCGTTACCCCGTAAGAGTTCAAAAGAGTGAAAGAAGCATTTGGGGAGATTTCTATAAAATAGAGGGATAAGTGAAGCTTAACGGAGGGAAGAAGAGGGTCCTTTTGACCCTGGGAAGGACATTGCTCACTGTTTGGGAGAACTTCCAGCTCACTCCTGCAGAAGCCCCATTCCTGTCTCTCCAAACTCTGCCCTCTCAGACACTCTCTAACAAAGGGAAGGCTCCAGAGGGCCCAGTCCCACATTTTTGCCATTCTCGGTGGCTATGGTAGCTCCTCCCCTAAAGTCTCCATCTAAAGGGTACCATACTTGGGCACAAGCCCAGCTTGTGGAGGACATGCCATCACCCCTCACCTATAGGAATTTAAGCTCCCTGTTTTAGTTACAGAATGTGGTTTCTTTTTTTCCCTTCTCCTGCCTCAATCTCTGGGACTGGAGGACTCACCCAGGTGTTGCTTTGCTCAAAATAAGCCTGTTTGTTTACATTTCAGTTTGGCTTGATCTGGTTTATTGTGTCGGTATCGTCAGGGTACAGAAAACCTACACACACCACAGCAGCAGACTGAAAGGCAAGCCCTGGTTTTCTGAGTTACTTGTTAGGAAAATTTGCTGATTCATGTGGACAAAAGAGGGATTGCACTGGGAGGGGCTTGCACAGAGTTCATAATCCAGGGTTCCGTGACAGTCCATCCTACAATTATTGTTTTCATTGATTTAGGCAGAAATGCAATGGTAGGGTAAATCAGCTGAATCAGAGCCCTTGGCGCAGAGATAGAGAGGGTTCAGGACAGACTTTACTCTCTGGGAACTAAAGGTCTACTCTGTAGGAATAGACACTTGAGATTGGTGAGCCCTAATAACAGTGCTCACATGCTACTTCAGGGTTTGGAAGGCAGTGGCACCCACATGGAGAACAACCTGGAATGTAAGGACCTATATAAGTTCAAAAAGGAAATAGGTCTGCGCTCATAGAAACCCAAGGATCCTGGACCTGATCCAACCTGGTTCATCCCAGTTCAGGGCCCTGGATGATTCAGAAATGTCTCAAAGAAAAGTGAATAGTCACTGAAGAGACTCCAACACTGACACTGCAGCCCTTGTATACACACACACACACACACACAGAGAGAGAGAGAGAGAGAGAGAGAGAGAGAGAGAGAGAGAGAGAGAGAGAGAGAGTAAATACTTGTGGCTAGTGTATTGTCAAATTGATGCAAGCTAGAATCATTTGAGAAAGGGACTCTCAATTCAGAAAATGCCTCCATAACATTTGCCTATAGGCAAGTCTGCAATGCCGTTGCTTGATTAATGATGGATGTGGGTGGGCCCAACACACTGAGGATGGTGCCACCCCCTGGGAAGGTGATCCTGGATGATACAAGAAAGCAGATGAGCACAAGCCATGAGGTGCAAAGCAGTAACCACCACTCCTCACCAGCATCTGCTCCAGTTCCTGTCTCCAGGTCCCTGCCTTGAGTTCCTGCCCTGTGTCCTGGGCTGCAGTGTGGAAATGTAAGCCAAATGAGCCCTTCCCCTCAACCAAGTTGCTTTTGATCATGGTGGTTTATTATGAAAAAAACTAAGTATGACGGTGAGTAGACTGACATCTCCCTGTGCTTTTGAGTCACAGTTCTCTAGTAATTAATGATGTAGAACACTTTAGGGGATTTCTTTTGGGTTTTTGAGACAAGGTTTCTCTGTGTAGCTCTGTAGACCAGGCTAGCCTTGAACTTACAGAGACCTGCCTGCCTCTGCCTCCCGATTAAAGGCATGCACCACCACTGCCCGGCTGATGTCAAACAATTTTTATGTGCTCATTGGCAATTTGTACATATTATCTGGGAAAATGTCTACTCAAGTATTTTGTCCACATTTAAATCCAATGATTTTCTAGTATTGAAACTACTTGTTTGAGAATAACACTGGGGGGAGCTCATTAATTTTCCTATGCTTTATTGTTTTTGCTGTTGTTGAGGTTTTGTTTGTTTGTTTGGTTGGTTGGTTGGTTGGCTGGTTGGTTGTCTCTGTTTCAGACAGGGTCTCTCTACATAGCAATGGCTGCCCTGGAACTCACCATGTAGACCAGGCTGGCCTCAAACTCAGACACCCTCCTGCCTGTGCCTATGGAACACCGGGATTAAAGGCTTGCACCACCATGCCCAGTGCTTTATTGTTGCTTCTCCATTCTAACTGCAGAGTGAAGAGCTCCCAGGAAAGAATATGGCCTGCAAGGCCTAAATACTGGCCCCACATGGGGAACATTTGCCAACCTCGGTTCTGGGTCCATGTCCACTTTAGTTCAGTGTCATCGTTTTATTCTTCCTACTTAACTCTATCAGAGCCTCTCCTGACCTCAGTACAACCTTTCCAATGTTTTTTCTTTGTCTTTTAGTTA